GTTGCAGCCGTCATTGTTGTTTTTGGCAGGCCCAGGCTGGATTCAAACCCACCACCTTAGGTGTATGTGGCTGGCGCCTTAGCCACTTGAGCCATAGGCACGGAGCCGGTGGCTCAATTCTAATAAATGAAATACAGCAGGAGCGCCAGCACAAGACTTCTAAGACGGGCAGTAAAAGACATTTTCAGTTTCTCCTTTTTCTCTCTCTCTCTCACCACTCACTGTGGGAGAAACCAGAAGCAATGATTCCTTAAGGGTTCAAAACAATCTTCACTTTGCCAAAGAGAAAACTCAGGTAGACTTGTGCAGAAATCTGTGTGGAGGGAAATGAGGCTTCCTGCCCAAAGCTGTGTGTGTCAGGAGCCGTGTGAGCCAGACATCTGGTAAACAAATCACCCAGCGTCAGCCAAGCTGTGAGAGGACAGCAGACATGACCATCCAGCCAAGCTGTGAGAGGACAGCAGACATGACCATCCAGCCAAGCTGTGAGAGGACAGCAGACATGACCATCCAGCCAAGCTACTCCCAAATTCTGAACCAAAAGAAAAAGCGGAAGATAATAAAGGTTAATTTTTGTCTTAAACCACTAAGTTTGGGATAACTGACTAGGTGGTAACACACAACTAACAGAACAGGGCAATTTTATCATAAGACAAGGCATACACACAAAGGATATTTAACTGTCCTTGGAACATAACACAGTAATACTCTCCAATATTCATACTTGAGATAAATTAACACAACAGAAGAGTATAAACTTTAGCAGAAGATTAGTGGAAAGGAAAAAAAATCTTTTTAAACACAATAATGACTCCCTCTGACTAAGGAACTATTTGGTTTCTTATTTTCTACTTAAATGGCCCTAATACACTGAGGACCCCAATTCTCATCTTCTACTGACTCAGAAGCAACAACATTCGCTCACAGAACTCTCTTAAAAATTACAGAGCAGCAGATCTCAACCTGTGGTTTGCAACTCCTTTGTAACAATGAAAATACATCCTGTATATGAGATATTTACATTACAATTTATAATAATAGCAAAATTACAGTTATGAAGTAGCAACAAAAATAATTTTATGGTTGAGGGTCACCACAACGTGAGGAACTGTACTGAAGGGCCACGGCATTAGGAAGGTTGAGAACCACTGGTATAGAGGATGTTACACCCAGCATGGCATCTGACATCAAACAGGTAGAATAACCTTACGGAGAAGCACTGAGGCACCGAGTGTGACGGGAGCAATGTTCCCACAGGAAGTTTTGTGTTCCTAACTTTAGTGTTCAGGTGTGGAATTGTCTCTACCATATCCCCAAACACACAACTTCCCAGGACTGGAGTAAAATGAGTCTTACACACTGTCACAGATACTTATTCAACTCAGTATTTCCCAACCTGGGATATACAAGATAATTTTGTTAATAAACTAATTTTTTAATTTTAATAGTCACACAAAAAATAGGACAAAATACTTATATAACACATCACACCCATGATTTCTTGAATTGTATCACTACAGACGAGAATAAAGCAGCCAGTACCATAGTAATTATTAACACAGGTTACAGGTACCAGCACCTTGCATGCCTGTGTGTGCTCAGATCTTTGGACATCCAGCTTTCTGGAACTAATCAGAAATTTAGATAATACATACGCTATGGAACACTACCATAAATTCTTTCACACAGCACTTTCGATTCACTATTATATCCTCATCAGTGACATAACTTTGTTTCCAGAAGTTGATAGTCTCTTAGAATACAAAGTGTACATAAGTAGATATGCTATGTCAGACAAGACTACTTAATTATCTTTCCTATTTTCCAGCTAAAAATACACCACCTTTAATTGATAATTTTTGATGCTAGCCAGGCGTGGTGGTTCAGGCCAAGGAAGGATTGTTGGTCAGGAGTTCAAGACTAGGCAGAGCAACACAGTGAGATTCTGTTTCTACAAAAAATGGAAAATTAGCTGGGTCTGGTGGCAGGTGCCTGCAGTCCCAGCTTTTCAGGAGGCTGAGGATCACTTGAGCCCAGAGTTTGAGCCTGTAGAGAGCTATGATGACACCATGTACTCTAATCTAGGCAAAAGAGCAAGACCCTATCTTTGAGGGGTTAAAAAAAGGAAAGAAAAGAAAAAAAGAAAGGAAATTGATGTTACTTAGCATCACAAGTAAAAAAAAATTCATAATACAACAGCCTCATCAGTAGCATAAAATAACAATATCAACCAGACTGTCCTATTTTTTTATTTGTTTTGAGACAGATGTGTCACTATGTCACCCCTGGTAGAGTGCCATAGCATCACAGCTCACAGCAACCTCAGCCTCCCAAATAGCTGGGACTACAGGTGCCCACCACAATGCCCAGCTATTTTTTGGTTGGAGTTGTTGTTGTTTGGCAAGCCTGGGCCAGATTCAAACCCACCAGCTCCAGTGTATATGGCTGGCACCCTAGCTGCTGAGCTACAGGCACCAAGCCAGACTATCCTATTTTTAAGGCATTAATTACCACATTAGAAAAAAAAAAATTTTTCCCCTTAGGGCCATGGTGTTTTATTAGGTCAAGATAGCTTAAGAGAAATATGAGTTTTATATATATGTGTGCTTCACACCAGGTCCTGGACTCAAAACTCACATACATTAAATACAACCCACAAGTTTTACTTTTAAAAAGCACCTCAGAAAATCAGTTCATTTATTTCTCCCTCCTTCCTCCTTGCCACCATCTCAATTTCTCTCTCTCTCCTTCTCCCCCTCCTCACCTCCCCCCCCGCCCGCCCCCCACACACAGAGGTTGGGGGGGGTATTCTATAGCAAACTCCATACTTTAACCCTCTTCAGTATACAAACATGCTTCTGTGCTGTTTCTCATGTTTAACTCCTACCCAAAATTTATAGATACCTTTTCCCAGCTAATGTTTCAAATCCTGAAATCCCGTTGTCTGAGAACTTCTTTAATGGTCTAGTAGCCAAAGTCTCACAGCTACCTTCCCCAAAATATCTAAAACGATCAGGAGGCATTCGTAATGATTCTTTTTTTTAGACAGAGTCTATGTTGCCCTCAGTAGAGTGCTGTAGTGTCATAGCTCACAGCAACTTCAAACTCTTGGGCTTAAACGATTCTCTTGCCTCTGCCTCCCAAGTAGCTGGGGGCGCCCACCACAATGCCTGGCTATTTTGTTGTTGTTGTTGTAGTTGTCATTGTTGTTTAGCAGGCCCCGGATGGGTTCAAATCTATCAGTCCTGGTGCACATAGCCAGCACCCTAACCACTGAGCAACACATTCAATATGAATTAGCCATGAAAAGTAACTACTAATCAATATAGCTGGATAGCCAAACACACTGTTTCCCAACTATATTATGGTAACAAAAATGTCTGCTGTTTATATTAAACCAAATCATATAATCATTGAGTAAATACTCAAAGTAATCAAAAGTAATAAGATAAATACAAAAAGTTAACTTTATAAAAATTTTTTTAACTACTAAAGTAGATTATTAGAGTTTTATTTCTACTTTACCCAAAAATCCCTTTACATACAAGCCAGTAATTTCCTTGGCTCTAAATAATGCTAAATTTTGCTAAGCCTTATCTGCAAATAGCAGTTAACAGAATTAACTGATGGAAATTGAAGGACAGAGAGCCAGAGGGACCAGAAGAGAAGACTAGGAGGAGAAAAAGAGCAGCTCTACAGACAGACAAACTCTAACTCAAGAGCCACTCATGATTCCACTCAACTACTACATCCATTTCCACAATAATTCCCTTTGTACTCACTGGAAAAATACTTGCCTACTGGCACCATAGGAGGAGTCCATGATGGTTCCAACCTGAGCTGGAAGCGACGAAGCGTAGGAAACTAAGGCTGGCGGGAACTCTCGAGGGGAGGTGAGATACTCAGGCGAGGGCTGCTGTGGCGGCTGCTGATGCTGAGCTAGCAACTGCTGCTGCAAGAAAGCCTGCTGGTACTGCTGGATCTGAAGCAAGAAATGACATCGTACCAAACAGTGCCACAGGCACCAAAGCACTGTCAGTGTCACAGCTACTGACTAGCTTCTGTCCTTTTCACACTGGTGACAATATCAGAAACCTGGAAAACAATTATCTGAAGGGGCAGCTTTACAACTACACAACTACGGTAAGATGAAATAAACCTATTCAAGAAGTTGTGAAGCTAGGCTCACCCGTCCAGATTCAAAAATTCTCCTTTAAATATTTTAAGAAAGAGACACAGTAGCTTAAAGTCACTAGTATGGTAGTTGCTGTAAAAAAGGTCAAATCATTCTCTGAAGCAAATGTATTTTCCCCTTGTGTTTCATTTTTTTGTCCTTAGTAGGTATTTGCCAAATAAAAGAAACAAAGATTACGGAGAAGAGGTCATTTCCCTTATGCTGTGAGATAAGAGAAGTATATTAGTCAATTACAACGTGCCACATTCAGGTGCCCTAGTTCTGGGCAATTTAAAGGTGCTTGAGAACATACGACTGGCTTTGATATGATGCATATCAATTAAATTACTTGAACTGATTATGAATTATTAAATCCTGAATAATACTATTCATACAGTGCCTTCCATACTATAATGCATACTTGGGGAAATCTCTAGGAAATTATCTAACACTCACCATTGCAGGATACTGTGATGCAGAAGATTGCGGCTGATACACAGACTGCATTAAAAACTGCTGCTGAAGCAGCTGCTGCTGCTGCTGCATCGCGTGTTGGTACTAAATGAGAAAAACAAATTAGCATCATTCGTGCCTTTTTGTGTCAGAGTCCTTTCTATAAGTACCAATCTTAAAATGGTGAGGTGGAAAATCAGTCCAAATACTAACACAAAATGACTATTATCTGTCAGTGACTGTAATTTACACGTTACTGGAATTAGTTTCACAATTATCAACAAAACGTTAACAGAAATTCAACTAAAACCAATTTCAGCACAGAAGAAAAGCTCCACCTAAACACATCTACCACCTGTTCCAGCTGCGACTACCCCTGAAGGGACTTCTGACCAGGACTCCTCACAGTAAATCCCCTCCCCTGCACCTCCCCTTCATGGCATCTCCTGATCGTCCCACGGCACCACGTACTGCCCTCCCCTCTGAGTCTACACACCAAACCAGTTCAGTGAAACTACAAGTATGCAGGTTCTGATAAGGCAAAGGACAGAACAGAACTGAAGCTTATTTTTTTCCTAACATCCCTTCCAACTCTAACTGCTGCCCTGGCCCCTGTGCCAATGCAGGCAAAAAATAAATAAATAACCAACCTAAGAAAACATGACTCCTGGAAAGCTTAATATCACATTTCCAACAATGGCATTAATAGTCCGTGAACTCAGAATGGAACCTCAAGCAGCTAATATTCATACTATTTGTGAACACCAAATGTCTACATGAAAGTTCTTTTCTTCATAAGACCATGAAGTAATCTATTTAAAGGACTATTCTCAAGTCTCTCACTAAACACCAATGTACATACTCTTTAATAGTTAAGAAATCAGGGAAAATGTTTGCTTGAAGAGAGGTCCAGGTGGATGCCCATGATACTAAAGGGGCCTCACTGCTGCTCACCTGCGGGGAGCACTTCCTACTGTGACACTGCCCTATCCACAGTCCCAGGGGCTCACCTGCAGGGAGCACTTCCTACTGTGACACTGCCCTATCCACAGTCCCAG